GGACACAGGTTTGTAAACAGTCACAATATTTCTTATGAACGGAAACAATATCAAGATTAAGACTTAAACAAATTCTTAATACGGCCGCGTCTAGCAAAAATATACCAACAATATCAAGTCATTTAATAAAGAAAACATAACAATGTATATACAAAGTTATATCTCCTTACGCACATTATTCATGCTACAGTGACCTATTCTGATGTAAGACACGTGTAACATGCTACCTTGGTGACTCATGCAGTCCCGTGAATACCCAAAACCAGAGAAACTTTTTAGTTCCTTGACTGAGGTTCCATACAAAGAATAAACCCTGAAACACCCTGAAAATGTGAAAAAATATCTAGCAGCTAAAGGAGCAGAAAATGCATGAATTACTCATGTATCACAACTGTGTGCTGATAGATTTTATAAAATTACAGAGTTACTTTTAAACAGACAAGACTTCATATAATTATGTAACATATATGCATAGGAATCACAATGTTTTATTTTCTTTGGTGTATAGTACAAGCTCATTGCCATTTTACGTTTGTTTTGTTCTTTATTAAAATGAAGGTCTTTGTTATTATATTGTAATATATACACTAGGCGCATCATGATTACTTGAATAACCGGTTATAGTTTGATTCGAAACTAGCCGGTTCAGAATTTTCTTGACCGCTAATCGAAACCGTTATTGTCATTATTATTTTATATCCAGTTTTACTTATACCGTCACACGTGCTATGAGTCGAAATTCCATTGTAGTCCAAGATCGCTCGCTTGGCCACCATTTCACATGTGGCAAATAGTAGATACCAAAGTTTAGAAGTTTAGGTGCTTTACAGCACTCAAGGAAATACCTAAACAGAGCATGCGCGAGGACTTTCTGTCTGGTTCTAAACATTATGAGCTGAGGCGGTTATCTTAATATGGCAGCTTGTCTGAAATATTTCATGTATTCTGAAATATAAGTCTGATTTAATAATATATTTGCCATTTCATACACGAGTAAATAATTGATATCAGCATAAAGAAAAATGTTGGTTTAATTCATTCAGTAATCTCTGACAGATCCACAACTTAACACCGACAGTTTTTACTGCGTAGACTAAGTCAGCGGTTTTCAATCTGTGGCTCCCTCCAGATGGTAGGTGGAAAGGCTGCATAATTACAGAAAGGAAGCGAGAGAATAATATATAGATGCCACTGTGGTCCACCTAGAGGAGAAAAAAAATATCAGGTCAGGTGGTGTGCGAACAGAAACGTTTGAAAATCATTCCTGTAAATTAGATCAGTTAATATGTTAGGAATCGGTTCAAACATAGCGAGTAACCGGTTATAAAAATTTCAAACCGTGACACCCCTGGTTTTAACCTTGAATATATATATATATATGACCCATTAGGCCATGCCCCGGGTCATCAGGGTTTTTTCGTCCATTTCTTACTTTATTTCTTATTAACAAGGATTTTCTCCCGAGTGCCCTGGATTTGGCGATTGTTATTACCCCAGTGCCCCGTAAAACTACGATGCGCCCAGGGGCGTACCGTATATGAGTTTACAGGATACCCCGGGGCGTTGCATAACAGGTCGTAGATTGCTGTAGTCAACATTTTGTTTTCAGTTTTAACCTTTTCTATCAATTTTAAGCAAGGAATATGGCGAGGTGACCCGTTTAGGCTTATTACGTGTCCTCCAGTGGGTTGGGGATAAGTTTACGGATATAAAACGCTAAAATCCGAGCTTAAATTCTCCGTATTGGACAGAGTGCAGATAGTCAATTGTGTGGCTTTGCACTAAGAATACAACAACAACAACAACAGCGGCTTTCTGGATGAAGTGTTTTCTATATCGTTTTCAAAAATTAAATCAGTCTCAGCCTCAACATCTGTTTGGTTAATTCCCTGGTATGTATAAGCAACTACTGATAACATAAATGACGTTGTAAGGCCAAATAGTGAATTTAATGTAATTAGTATTGAAATTATGTGTCTGGAACTAATCTTAATGGAAATACGTCTTTTGGGGCATGGACAGGGTCGTGGTGCAGTGGGCGATGGTATGATTCGCTTAGGCGTGTTAGTAGCAATAATTTTGGACTTAAATCGTTAGAAAATTTGGCATAAACGTAGAATAATCAAGTTAAACTAACGTTTAACCTGGAAACGTGAGATTTCGTCTCGTCTCTATGTACAAAAATTCTTGCTTTAAATCAAGCTATTGGCAGTACCCTTTCGCATACATTTAAAATTTTGGAGCCACCTTACATTTAGATTAAAATGTTTCAAGATACTTTGGCTTGTGAAGTCTGGAATAATGTACAGTGAGTAAGGCCGAATAGTCATACTCTTCCACTTAACTTCGTCTTTATTATATTAACATGTTTTAACCACTTGCCACCATACAGTAGTGTGTTGTCAGTCACTCAGTAGGCACTAAAATGACGTCACATAAGGGACGCTTAACGTTGCAATTTGTGCTGTTGTGACGTCAGTAAAACGTGCGCATGAGATGAATCACAAGAAGAATTTTGCACTCTGTAGGCTACAAAAACAGCATGACATGAACTTCAAAATCAAGAAATAAATCGTAATTTTGGTTTTATTTACTCTTAAAACAGAACACTTTCAGGGACCATGCGGAAGTATATCTAGTTATATTTGTTGCATAATCTTTTTGCAGTGAATATCTTTTTCGAAGAAGCTGCCTTTATGATTTTTTTTACATTTTGTACTAGAAGTAATGGATGTTTCTGGCCCGGCATGGCCAAGTGGTTAGGGCGCTCGACTCGCAATCTGCGGGTTCGAATCCCCGTCACACCAAACATGCTCGCCCCTTCAGCCGTGGGGGCGTTAAAATGTGACGGTCAATCCCACTATTCGTTGGTAAAAGAGTAACCCAAGAGTTGGCGGTGGGTGGTGATGACTAGCTGCCTTCCCTCTAGTCTTACACTGCTAAATTAGGGACGGCTAGCATAGATAGCCCTCATGTAGTTTTGCGCGAAATTCAAAACAAACAAACAAATGAATGTTTCTTTGGAAATGTTATATTCATGTCATTGGAGCGTTTGTTTAATTACGCTATTTTTGCACTATAAACACATCTTTACGCGAACCTTTGGGTTTGAGATTAATTAACATTAGATCTTGTATAGACCCTTTACTTCCCATTTTGGATTCTAAATGATGTGAAATTTGTTACAAAAACGTTGTGAATAATAACACCCTCCAATGGAAGGATTTTTTTCTGTAAATGTGATATCCTTAGGACACTGTCCCTCCAAATCAAATGCACTAGTCGATTAGAAATGTATTTAAACAACATAAATTCAATATAATTATAGTTGTTATTTACGGCATTATCATTATCATTATTCTGTACGAAATTTAAAATAAGGGAAAAAACATAATTCTGGTGTAAACGATGTTATCATTATCCCTTGAAGTTAGTTTTCTTACAGAAATAAGGTGTTTCTTTAAAAAACTTAAATACAGGGTGAAACAGGAATTACTAGCCAGTAATAGATGAACATTAGATTACTGTAACATGTGGAATACTCAGTGCTTTGTACACTATACCACTGGTGTCGTTAGGGAGCCAACCCCTATATTATGTATGAAGTGAAGGAGTAAGTAAAAAAAAACACATACTAGTCATCAGAAGCTAGATATGAAGAGCTACTTAGCATAGTCTCTTTATCTCAAGTGTATATGCCACTTTTCAGCTATTTAGAGCGTCCCAAGGTCGAAAACTGGCCAATAGTCAAAACTGAAACTTCTTATTTGCATTCAACATAATATTTCTTCAACAGGCCTAGCGTCTACCTAGTTCTAGCAGCAACTATAATTTTATCATCATTTCATAGAGCAAAACAGTCTTCACAATCTTTGAATGCCTATTTTGTTATTGTTCTATTCAAAATGTATAACGTTTTAAAATACATTCTATAACCTAGTAATTCACGTACTCCATCTCATAAAAAGTAAACAAATAAGTATTAGGGAAAAATGATCACTAAATAAAAAAGCTATGTAGAGCTAGCTACCGAACTTGAAAAACGGAACCAAACAAGATAAGGATGGAAGTGGACATATCAATCGAGTCAGCCAATGATCAGATAGCAGACTAAGCTGTCTCGACTTTACATGAATAATAAAATTTTGGCTTCTTTACTGGCAAAGCAAATAGAACCAGAATTTCCAATCGTAAAATGTTACTTTATTGTAAAATATTTCATAAAAGTAGTATTCTAAAGCTAACTAAAAGAAAGGTATAATGATGAATGCTGAGATTCTATTCAACAAAGTGGGGAAGTCAGTAATGTAGGGATTTTATTCTCTATGTAAAGTCGAGACGGCTTAGTATGCTATGTGATCATTAGCCAGATCAAATTATATGTCCATTTCCATCCCTATCTTGTTTGGTTCCTTTTTCAATTTCATTTAGCGATAATTTTTAACCGCAGCATAACGACTCATAGAACAGCTCTGGGTTTGTTTGTTTTTTATTGTTTTTAGCCGCGGCATATTGGCTCATAGAATGGGCTCTGCGTTTTTGTTTTTTCAAGTACAAACTTTTAGCCCGTAGCTCCGTCATCTATTGACCGATTTGAGGTCTAACTACAGTTTTGGACTCAGGAGGTCAAACTCTTTCGATTGATGTATTAGACCATGTCCAAGGTCTCATAGGTTAGTTTACTTTAATCCTGTCTTCAAGAATTTCAAGTGTCGCTGCTATTGAGGATTATCTCTTGTTTACACTGCGTATTACTACTAATTACCTTGTGTTTTTAGGTATTTAAATATAAGTTATTGTTTGTTTGTTTTCACTTTTTATTCTTAATATGCTTTTTCTTTCTTTTCCGTAGTAAGTTTATTGATGCATAAATAATCCCACTCCAACTTTTATGTGTTACATTGAGGTATATTGTCTATGATTACTGTACAATTGTGTTGAAGAAGAAACCAAAACAATCCGAAAAGTTTGGTAAGTATTTTAAGTATATAGATAACTTTTAGCTCTCATCGCAGTTGACGTTGACTAGCTTTTATTTACAGTTAAACGTACTGCCTTTTGAATTAAGTGCTTGTTCGTGTTTACATATCTAATTGTTAATATTTTATAACGATATTGTATTGTATGGTATTGTAATTTTCTCTGTAATTAAGAACAACTTAACTTGTCTGGGATAATCAGTCACCTTATCTGATGGGAAATGAAATATTAAAAACGCTGACGACATTTTTTAAAAAAGTTAATACATCACTTTCATTGATAATAAAATACTTTTTTTTAATTATAGTTTCGCTTTGTTTTCCACGTTCAAGTAGTAGTACCTGGTGAGCAGAAATAAAATAACGGTTTTGATTTAGAACACATTATTCGTATTTATTTTCTGTACATTTTCATTGATACGCCTTTAATAAAAATCTGCATAAAATATGTTTTTGATTTATCCTAGTACAAAAGTTCAAAATATTATGGTAAAAAATTAGATTTCATATCCAGCCACCTTACCTTTAGCAACACCAATTCAAAGCTCGTGTTCTTCGGTGAGACAGCAGTAAGTCTACCGGCGTACAACGCTAAAATCGGGTTTGATTCTCCGTGGTAGACACAGCAGATAGCTCAACGTGGCTTTGCTCTAAAAAACAAACAAACAAGCAGTCAATCAACCAAAGCTCATATGGTTGAAGTATGGGGATTTTCAAGTGCAAGTGATGCCTAAATAAATAATATTGACTCCTTCTGTCGAGGGCCTGGTTGTTGGTTTGATGGTTAGGGTAATAGACTTGCAATCTGTGGGTTGTGAGCCCAAATCCCGTTACCGAATATTTTCGGCCTTGGGGGCGTTATATTGTGACGGTCAATCCCACTATTCCTTAGTAAAAATAGTCCAAGACTTGACGGTGGATGATGGTGACTAGCTACCTTTGCTTTAATCTATCACTTCAAAATGAGGGACGGCTAGCACAGATAGCTCTCAAGTAGCTTTGCGTGAAATTAAACAAACAAACACAGCTTCTGGAAGGGGTAAATTTCGACGCGAAGTTCACCTATTCCACTATTATAAAAGCGTGCAAGGAAAGAAAATTTAGCATTTTGAAGAAAAGGATACCTGTAGATTCGAACTGCATCAGTAAAGCAAATAATTTCAACAGGAAAAAAAAAAAGCTAATCCACAACCGATTACCAGTCGCACATCTAGAGTAGTGTAGAGAGTTAAACATCTTGTCATCTTAAGAACACAGTAGTCCATTCCAGGTAAAGTAAACGCCTCCCTTAGAACTGTAAATCAAACAATCCACATAGAGATACTAGAGCCGTGTTTACAAGCTTCTCTCAATGTACGTAGCCGAAAAGAAAGACTAACTGTCGAAAGCAACGTGAACGGTATCTGGCATGTGATCATGTGACAAGTGAAAGTATGTCCGGATAATTTAATATTGTCTTTCCGATGATACAACATTTAAAAGCTGTATAGTATGGTACGAAGGTTTATCTCAAGGGATTTGTGTTGACTGCAGGTTACAGTTGTAATGATAAGTTAAACATTTGGTGGGTCGAGAAGTACGTTAAGGTACCCTCTGCATACAATTTGACTAACGTGCTGACACTACTATATCTCGAAGAAATACCAACTTTGTACCGATTGGATGCTTATCTTGATCAAGACAACAAAACGCATCAAGTTACACGTCCAAGTTAACATGTCACTTACTCAGCAAGATGCAAGTACAAATGTGAAGTCATGCCATAACTCGCATAGACTTATGATGGACTTCTGTGCCTTTCCATTGCTCAGACAGGCTCTTGAAAGTCGTCCAACCACGGTTGATGAACTTTGACAAATATTTAAAGAGAAGAGGGCACAACATTGACCTCAGTGTATCAGAAGAAGCCTTCTGCAGTGGAAATTGCACTGCAGAGCAATAGTCCATAACTAGGGCAATCACGTTATCACACTATCATTGGTATAGGAAAAGGCTGAAGATCCTTTTAGTGTATTTTTATGGTGAGGAATCATCTAGTGATTATTACATAATCTATATTATAAAATAATATTACTGTTTTTTATTTCTAATGATATTCGTTAAAACATACAAAGGTTTGAGTACAACTATGGTATTAAAGTCTACCGAGATCTTTCTCAGCCAAGAAATTCAGCCTGTATATTTTTTTCGTATTTGAAACTGTGAGCAACCTCAGCTTTATGTTACACATATTTTTACAGTGTCTGTCACTGTCTTGATACCATCTGTTCAAAGAAAACGTAAAGAAGTTTTAAATTCTTGTTATTTTTATCAAGAAATCGTGATATCCTCTCAACTTGCTTATTTCAACAGATTAAAGTTTTAAACTACTTGTTAGTCATTTCTAATTTCTACTTTATTTCTTAAATCATACTTTCAACCGTACAAACTTTTAGCAACGTTAGTAAAACGTCAATCAGTATCATTTCTTTTTGACGTCATAATTCCATTTGTTTTTACATCAGAGAAATGGAACGTCTCGTTCTTCCGTTAGGTAATTTGAATGACGCGAAAGATTATCACGTGCTACAATTAGTGATCGTGACTCTCAGTGTTGATCGATGAGATAAAACTGAATGGTGATATCTTGTGACCTACTTATTCTTTTCGTGCTTCAGCTCGGTGGGATCAAACTTGCAGCTCACAATCTTCGTTATGTCGTCATTTTGAGCGTACTTACAGCTTCGATTTGAGATTCATTTCCAGAATTTATTTGTATTTAATTGATGATGCAACAACCAAGAATAAGACAAAGTACCAACTAAAACTAATTTTGTTTGCGTTAACGTTGGGCCAGTCTACACTTCAACTTATTATAAATCACCACCATTTCTATTTAACTTTTGGACTTGGTGGTATTCAGATTACATTTGCTCCTTTAGTTTCACTCTACTTCAACTAGATTCAAACATTATAAAATTCAAAATTTCCTGTTAAATAAACCTTATAAATACAACGATTTTAACACTTAGCCTGTTTGTAAATTTTTATATTTAATTTTTTTGTGGTTGTCAGAGGTTTTGGATAATTAATTTATAAGGGTTACATGATCAATATTCCCTCTAGTTTTTTTCACTCCATGTGTGGAATGAATTTTTTCATGTGCACCAGTATCAATGCAATGTGCGGATGTGCGTTACTAGTTTTTTGTTTGTTTGTCATTGTTTTTTTGTTGTGTGTGTGTGTTGTTTTTGTTTTTTTTTTTGGGGGGGGGGGTATTTTTAGACCATCGACCCTATTGGATCATTAGACCGCATTGCAATGCTACAAGTTAGTTATTTGGGCTTTAGGCCCATCGACTGCCAGGGTCATTAAGGCTGTTAACGTATTGGGACTCTTCAACATTACTGAGGATGTGCGCGGCATTTGATTGGTTGTTGTGCGGCCGCGCAGATTAGAGAGAACACTGGTTACATCATTGTTAACAACAATCCAAATTAACATCAAAGAGGAGTCTATACCATTGTTTTATGTCAGACGTGTTTAAGTTAAATGCAATCAATAAAAATTGTCTCCTAACCGTCGTGTAACCCGTAAGTTTAAGCTTTAATGTGTTCATTTCGTACATTCTTTTTATTTTATATTATATTTTGTGAATAAGTGTATACAAGTACCATTTTTAGTTTTCACGAAGGCTCTCCACAATTTTCTGTCTTCTTCTCAATCTTCAGCCTCTATTCTGTCCAGTTCTGTGTTTCTCGTATTCCTCTCTATTGTTCTATTTTAACTATCTTTCGGTCTTCCTCTGCATCTTCTCATCGCTTTACCTTACACAAAACACATGCAGGGAGCCTTCTTATCATTACATGTAAGTGAACCAAACGCTGCTAAATATCATATAGTTTGTGAATGTGACGTTGTCAGGCGTACATCCAATCATCCCACTGCATATTTCTCGAGAATCAGATCTTTCAAGCGTCATCTAACCATCTCATTGCTTATTTCTCAAGAATCAGATCTTTCAAGCGTCATCTAATCATCTCACTGCTTATTTCTTACGAATCAGATCTTTCAAGCGTCATCTAACCATCTCATTGCTTATTTCTCACGAACCAGATCTTTCAAGCGTCATCTAACCATCTCATTGCTTATTTCTCGCGAATCACCACAGTAATTACTTATCACTTTGGTAAAACAAACCAACTGTCTTCAAGTTTTGGCACTATTTCGATTACGTATGGCCCAGCATGGCCAGGTGGATAGGGCGCTTAACTCACGATCCGAGGATCGCGGGTTCGAATCCCCGTCCCACCAAACATGCTCGCCCTTTCAGCCGTGGGGGTGTTATAATGTGACGGTCAATCCCACTATTCGTTGGTAAAAGAGTAGCCCAAGAGCTGGCGGTGGGCTCCTTTACTTTTAGCCTTTCACTGCTAAATTATGGACGGCTAGCGTAGATAGCCCTCTTGTAGCTTTGCGCGAAATTCAAAACAAATCAAACCAAACCATTACGTATATAAGATGCATAACAAAATGACTGGCATCAGACGGTATTCAGTTTCAAGTTATTTTGTGTACATTAGCATCATCATAGTGCTCAATTTGTGAAACTTCCAGAAAATATATCCTTCTACGTCGAAAATAAGGATTTTTAAAACCATTCTATCTGTGGATATTACCATTACTCCGTGGTCATTTTGTTTGGCTAAACCAGATAGTGTTGCTTGAAGTAATCATTATAATACTTTGCATCAAAATTAATGTGATGTTTAAATTCGAGAACCTCTTATCACCTAAGGTAAGCCCAAAATGGATCTATATGTCACAAATGTCACACACTTAATTCAACTACATGTGTCTCACTCCAGACATTCATAAACTTGTGACATGAGGTTTCATAATCATTTGGAAACGCGTGCATCCTTGAAGGACGTATTTGCCTAATTTGAAAAAAAAAACAATATTGCCAAATACACCATTCGATCTACTAGCTATATAACTCACTATAATAAATACACACGTGCCAGCGTTGATGCCCTTAGAGCAAATTGAGACACAAAGTCGAATGATCAAGGTCTTCTATGATAAACCTATTTTGCGTGCATGTAAAGTAGCTGCACGCACTCGTAATAATAGATTTAAAAAGTACCAAGCCTGAGATCAATCTGCAGTTAGATGTTTATCTATACACCTGGAAAAAAGTTAAGCACCCCCGTGTTTTTTTCAAGTGATTCAGATTCGACGTTCTTGTGAC